TATATGCTTCCCGCTTCAAGTTCTCTGCTGCTCCTCCCCAGCCCTAATGGGAAAATGCATCCCCATTTGAGAGAATGACAAGGTTACTTTGCTATCTGGGTTAATGTCTGAGAAAAGAGCTTGGAAGGGAGTGACTGTGCTTAGCCTTTTTGCTAAAGTAGCATGATGAATCATATCAAAGAATAGTTGTTTGCAAAGTCGGAGACAAGATCAAAATGCCATGTTCCTCTGAAACTGCAGCATGTCTTTTGTAGAGAAATCTCAATTCCAGCTAGCAGGGAAATGTTTAGTTCAGAAATATACTTCACATTGAGTTTCCAATGAAATTGAAACCAAGAAAGAAAGGGTCTCCAGGGACAGGGTATAATCATGAGGTTATAGTGAGGGTTAATGCCAATCCTCCCATCACATACTCATAATTGTGCTGGAGGAGTAGAATTAAAAGGAAGTTACTCTAGCAGATGTTTTCAAATTAGCCAAAACCATGTCACGGAGTAAAGCAGCAGAGTTGGACTTGCGCCCGGACAGAGAAAGGCCTCCCCCAAGCCGCCTGAGGGAGTCACTTAAATGTCTCTGAAACCTGCCGGTGCTGACTGGGATGTACAGGCTGGGAGATGAGCAACTCCCAGCACAGACCCTCCTTCTCTAATTGCTTAGCCAGGGCTTCAGCCCGCCCCCCACTTTGTTGAAAGCTAAGAAAACCTGGCAGGATTGGGCAGTTAATACACTGCCAAATCACACACTCCACAGCTTGCTTTTGTGTTGTGCTTACAAATCTGACAAGAAAACGTTGGGAGAGGATATAGAAATTGTAAATGACAACAGATGAGCAAACTATGATAAGTGACTAAGGAAATGAACAGTTTAGTTTCAGGCAAATCCCAGGAGGAGGGTGGGTTTGCACCTTCACAGCAGATTCAGGGTGTTGATATCTCATTGACAACCACCCCAAATGGGGCAATCATATCCCAGCTATATCAGTTCTCATCTACCCAAAGAAAGGTCCAAGACTCTGAGCCAAAGGTCTATGGCTTTATAGCCAAAGGGCTTCCAGTGCTTATGTGAGCTGTTTCTTCTAAGTGAGATGTCACTTGTTACCCAGTAATTATTAACTCCTACAGAAAGGGGAAAACAATGAACACCAACCAGGAAAATTCCAAAGTCAATAAAAGAAGAGAATATCTCTAACCCCCCACCAACCCCACTCCTTCCCGGCCCTGCTCCCACCCCCAAACCATGCACCAGTTTTCTGGTTCCTACCATTTACTAGAATGAGGCATGTAGAATTGATGGATCAACACATCCCATATGCAATACCAGACTGTCTCTGTGCAGTCAGAATAAGAAACAGAAGACCTCCAAAGTAAGTCATTCACCTTTTTAACCTTACAGCCACACCCTATTTCACTTGCTCTCAACTACATGTTTTGTTCTGCAGGTCTGCGCATTGCAGGGTTACATTAAAAGAAGTAGCGGATGTATAGAATAAATACATACACATTTATATAAATATATGTAAATATGCATTAATGGCATTCTGTATATACATACATATATATTATGTGTATGTATATATATCACACACACACATATATATATATAAAATAACTTTTTACATAAGCCAAATACTATGTGTTAGAAGAAAAGGAATTGGTACTTGGTATCAAGCAATGTTATGAGTGGATGTTTAATAAATTTAAGCAAATGATTTAAGACTAGCTCTACATCTTCTTCTGTGGTAAAAGAATGTGTTTGTTTTTTAAAAAAGGAAGAAAGTCATTGGGGGCACTGAAATGATTCCTTTATTTGAAAATGGAGCATTACAAGCCCTTAGGACTTTCTGGAAATGAAAAAGACAGCACAAGACATGGGGTGTTTCTGAACCTACAAGAGTCTCAGAAGCACGAAGAGTTTTAGAATGTTAGAAAAGGGCCTTCTTGTGATTATGTTTCTTTAAAATAAAAAGTACAAAGAGAACATACCATAGATACAAGGCATAGAGATTTTAAGTGTAGGAGGTGAAGATTGGGGAAAAGCATTTCGATTTTTCAAAAGTCCTTTCAGTATTCCTGTTCTAATGGTATCCCTTCAGCAGGGGAAAATAATTAGTGAAGGAAGAGGAGAAAAGAAAATCATTTACAACTATATCCTGCATTGTTTCCTTAAATTAAACAAAGAGAGGCAAGTGTGGTTTCTAAGAGATGAAATCTTCATAAAGTCTGTCAACTGAATGCCTCCTAAGAGGAATTAGATTTCTTCTTTAGGGAGTAAAGTTGCTCTGAGAAAGGGTGGAACAATTTGTGGGAGTGATCAAGAGAACACTGTAATGTAGATTGGAGTCTATCACATAAACTTCACTATAAAAATACACAATTACATAGCAGTTTTGTACATAATGGTATATACACAATTATATACCATTCTTTCTGAATTTGAAATATTTTAAGTCAAAATCAGAGCCCTGAATTCTTGGTTTCCATAAGAAGTTGCTATACAAAGAAGATGGTACTTGTCTCAAATTGTTACTATGCTACATATCTCTAAATGAATAGTATAACTTTAATTTCTCTCTTCCCAGTTCTAATTTTATATTAGAAATAGTCTAGATGGCTAGATGGGACAAACATACCAAGAAGAGTTAAGTCAAAGTGCATGCACTCTGTATTTCCAAATTTGATTCAGTAGGACATTTAAGCATGATTTAGAAAGTACACCACCATTTAGTTTTAGGATATTACTCTACATGGACTACACAATATTTTGAAAGGAATGCCTTGCTACAATAAGCACTGATTTGTTTTCATCAAGGTTTTAGTCTTGTCAGAGCAGTTTCTGTTGAAGGAGAAATTAACAAAGCTAAACCATGAAAATTCCCTGGAGGTAAAGCTCATGTGCATTTTTGTCTTCCAAAAGCACAATGCTTGTGTTGGGTATGAAGAGCTTTATCAGAAAATTACTTCCTAATTTTTTTAAGAATCTGTTCACCAGTTCATTTTGCCAATATTTATATTGCTTATAATATTTGAGATATAATATTTTATTTGGCAAAGTAAGAATAGAAACCCTATTAGAAATAGAGAAATAGAGAGGTAGATGTGATTGTTTTTTAAATCCTATATTGCAAATGCATTCACGTCTTTTCTCATACAAGTAACTAATATTTTCTAAGTGAGTCAGTTTATTATTTTTTTAAGCAGTTATGGGATTTTTAGATCTGAAACCAGGAATATTTCAAGACAGTGACTGCAGTTCACTGCTGCAACTTTAAACTGAATTAATAAATCCAAAGGAAACTATTAACAAAGCAACTGACATACTCAATTTTTTAATGGCTTTGAATTTCCTTTGAAAAAATGTAAGCAAAGAAAATTTTATCCTTTTGACATTAGATTCAATTAGGTTACTTGTGACATTTCTTGCCTCCATGTCATTTCCGTTCAAGCTGGAATGAAGATTTGCTATATATGCCAAATTACATAGGCCAATAGTAAATTGCTTCCTGAAACTGAAATTCTGCTATAAATAACAGTCAAAAGGCAGTGAGCTTCTTCCTAGTAAAAATAAATTTGCAAGATGCTTGCACTGGGTCCTAAAATTGATTTCCTAGTTCTAAACATTCCTCAGCCTAGTGTGTGACGGCAGCTGAGTCTGATCCATCACCACTTTACAAAGCCATTCATGATGACTATAAAAGATAAAGCTCTGCCTTTGTTACTTTTATTTATGTCTTTAATCATGGTAATTCCATAACTTCAGGTGTTATGCCGGAGAGGCAGGGCGTCCGGATCTGTCCAGAACCAAAGCGGCCCACTGTGTCAGGAGTGAGCAGACTCGCCTTAGTCCACAGCAGAAATACCATCTCACCCACCGGCGATCCTGTCCCACAGCCTGGCCACCCCAAACCCCCTCCCCTTCTCAGAAAATTCCGTAGTGGAACCGGCCGGGAGGAAGGAGAACCGGCGGGCAGACGGGCGGGGGGCGGCGGCCGCCGCGCCCGGGTACAGGCTCTTAGTGTCTCCGCGCGGGCATCCGAGCCGCCGGCCGCCCCTTCCCACGGCCTCCGGGGGCCACCCGGCCAGCAGGGGCGGTTCGCCTTCCGCGCGGGGCGCAGCAGCCGGAGTACTGAAAGCAGGTCTTCATCCCCCGGCAGGTCCCTCCCGCAGCTGCAGCCGCCGCTCAATGAAAGTGCGATTTGTTATCTCTCCCGGCCGGGAGGAGAGGTCCCTATTCGGTCCCGGCTCCTGCCCGATTCATTCAATCGGCTGAATACAGGGTCTCATCGCTCGCCCCGCGATTCGCCAGGAGCTGGCCTCCGCGGCGGGCGGGGGACGACTCCAACGCCCACCCCCGCGGGCCCTGTTCTCTCTGTGTGTCTCTCTTTATCTAGGTCTCTCCCCGTTTGCCTCTATCTCTTTGTCTCTGTGTCTCTGGTGCTTCCTCGCTGTCTCTCTCTCTCTTGCGCGCGCGCACACACACTCGGTTGGGGGCTCTCTCCACAACCATTGCCAAAATGTCACCTAGAAAGCAAGTGCAACAACTTGCTTTGCGACCGGCCCGAGAGCCCGTGGAGAAATGCCCGGCAGGAAGCAGCCCTCTCCTCCCCGGCAAGGTGCAGCCGGGCTTGCGGACGCGAGCAGGGGCGAATTTGGCCAGTGGAGATGACGGGGACGGTTGTCCCCTCCCCCTTCCAGGACCCTGTCGCAATTAGAATTCCGTCCCCTTCCCGGCCCCTGGGACCCGCGAGGACCGCACACCCGGGGAGGGGCGCGCCGGTGCCCGGGCTCCCGGGGTCCCCAGGGGGCCGGGAGTGCGCCCCGGGCGCCAGAAGGCGAAGGCGAAGCGGACGAGCGGGACCCGGGGACCGGGAACCCAACCCTCAGTCCCTCCGCCGGCAAGAAGCAACGACCGCGCGGCGGGCAAGAGCAGCCCAGGGCACCGCGACCGCGGCGGCGGCCGGGCTCGGCTCGCGGCCCCAGCCCCGCGGCGCAGCCCGGCGTTACCTTTCTGCTGCCCGCAGTCTGGCCTTGGACCCCTGCGTCCGTCCGCCCGTCGGGTCCGCGAGCTTCGGAGTGAGGACGAAAGGGGCGTCCTGGCGGCCGGGACAGGTTCTCCGAGAGGTGACGGGAAGCGCTGGGGAGAGGAGCCGAGGCGGCTGCGGCAGCTCCCGCCCCTGAGGATGCCGCGTGCCCGGGGCCAGCGGTGTCGGAGAGGCCGCGTCCTCTGGCTTGCGGCGGCCGGAGCTCAGCGCTCGCTTCTGGCGCGGAGGCTGAGCGCCAGGACGCGGCGGGCTGGGGCGGCGAGGCTGGGCTGGCCACCCGTCCCTGGGTGCATGTTAATACGGTGGGGAGGAGGAGTCCCGCGCTTCCTCCGCCCAACCACCGGAGCCGGCGGCCGGGCGGCGGCCGCGGCCCGGAGCCAACCGCCCCCACCCGCCCCGCTACTACGGCGCGGCCCCCAGACCTGGACCCAGCCCGGGCACGTGCGCCGAGGCCGCGGGGAGGCGCCCGGCGGCCCCGGGAGCGTGCTCCTGGCCTACGGGGTCGGCCCGCTCAGCCTCGGGGTGGCGAGTGCACTCACACCGCATCCCCATGGGCTAGAGCGGTCGGCGAGGCGGCCACCAGTTAGTGGGCGTGCCCCATCCGTCCCCAGCGCAGCGTCTCAGGGGACTTCGCCCTGCCCCTCCTCTCTCGCCAGGTGTTGTTCCTTACTAGTCTTTTAAAGGCGGAAAATCGGGAGAACTCATAACACTTTCTATCACCGATCAAGTTGGCAGGCAGATTTGTTGTCCAATCCTCTCCCTCCAGGGTTCCTAGGAGAAACTGTGAAGAAGTAATCGCCAGGGAAAAGAAGGGGTAGTGGAAAGGGTCTAGACTCATAAATACTGACGTTCAAACCCAGAGCCTCAGTTTCCCCATCTATAAAAAACGACAGCTTTTAGGAGATTGCGTGGTTTAGATTACACAATATATACCCCACCACCTCCACTCAGTACTGGACTGAAGGTAATTAGAAAAACGAATCCCTTTTCCTCCTGTCCTCCGACCTCAGGAAACTGCCCACTGTCCACTCCAAGTGCATCTGGAAGCCAAACCCTTTCAGAAAGGCTGAGGACCGCTCCCCAGCGAGCTCTGGAAATAGGAAGAATACACAAGGTTTCCAAATAAGAATAAAGATAAATGGTGTGACTAGGTGAACTGGGTCAAGAGAGAAAGAAAGTCGATCTATTTCGTATTTATTGAATTCTTGTTCTGCCCATTTAAGTAGTAATGTTCTGGATGATAACAGTTAAAATAATTGTGGTTAATCACCCTCTTCCTGTTTCCCTATACTCACAAAAGAATGGGCATCTTCAAAGAGAATGTCCTTTGTCTACAGCTCCCAGAGAACATTATGCCTAAGAGCATATAATCTTCTTTATGTAATTGTACCCATAAAGCTATAGCATAAGATTTAGCATCTGTTTTGTGTGAAATCTAATTATAAATATTAATAGAATACCCTTTTTAAAAACACTTCTAAAAATGCAGAGAAGTAAAAAACAGTTTCCATAAAAATATGACTCAGATAAATAATCGCTTTTCCTCAGTTTCACTGAGTGATTTTCCATTAAAGAGAAAAAAATCTTTAAACCACTCAACACTCTAAAGAAATAGAGGTAAATCCTCAGCATTATAGAAACATAGTACCATGATAACCAACACTTTAACAAAGCTCTAAAAGATATCCCCAAGCTGATTTAAGAATGACTGTGTAGGGGTACTTACACTTCAAATAAGATGCCATGGAAAGGAAAAGTATGTACTGACACAGGAAAAGTAGTCTTCAAAATCTGGAAAAAGCAATTACCTTGTCTCTCCTGATTTGTAAATATGTATAATCTGTAGATGTTTTAATGAGGTCATATAAATAAGGCCAATATAATTGTGAGGTCCTAACTCAAATGAGGTGACTTCAAAATTACTTGAGTGGAAATCAATTTTCTTACAGAATTTTCATGGTAGATTTAACCCAGCAACAATACAATCTAAGTAACACTACTATTATTAGGGTTTTCTGACTGTACACTGCAGAAACCAAATCTTATTTTAAGAGAAAATAATTTATTGGAAAGCTATTGAAAGTTTCCAAAATTGAAGGGAGGGCCAGAAAGCAGTCTTGGAAACAGGCAAGATTTGAGGCCATAGTGGAGGGCTAGGAACCTAGAAAGACCAAAAACCTGAATGGGTGCTGCACATTCAGCATGAGTACATGCCAGCTCACATTACTGGATCAAGAGTCAAGTCCCAGGATCCAGCATTTAACTGGCCAGACTTCAGTCAGGCACTAACTCCCAGCTGTACCTGGATAAGGAGAGGAAAAATTTAGTTCTTTGACTTCCAAAATGGAAGGCAGGCAGCTGAATTTTTCATCCTTCCAAAAGTATGAGTGAAGATACGTAATTCCTCAAAATAAGTTCAGGGAGCTATTAAGGAGAATTTGATGTGCAGGCAAAAAAATCAATTACATTGACTGGCTATGAAATTTATATTATAATTCTTAGCATTATTTGGAAATAAACAGTGATATTGTACAAGTAAAATGGATAGCACTTTTTATAGTTATTGTACATATGCTTGGTTTTAGTTAAGGAATGCTACTTAGTTATCATATGTAAGGCCGGTTACCTAACTTAAGTAAGCATAGTGCCTGTACGAACTCCTGAGAGCCAGGGTTAGTGGCTGTGTTCATTTCTAGGCATAGACAGTATGGGAACTGAATAACGGCCCTGGAAAGAAGGCCATGTCCTAATCCCTGGAACCAGTCAATGTTTTCTTACATGTCAACGTGTAGATGTATTTAAGTTAAGGATCTTGAGATGACAAGGTTATCTTGGATCGCCTTTATGGGCCCAATGCAATAACAAGGACCCATGTAAAATATACAAGAAAGCCAAATACAGAAGAAAACGATGGGATGATGGAAGCAGAGGTTGCAGTGATACACTTTGAATGTGGAGGAAGGTGGCCATGAGCAAAGGATCCCAGTCTCCAGAAGTTAGCAAAGGTAAAGAAACGATTCTTCCTTAGAATCTCCTGAAAAAAATGCCAGTCTGCTAACATCTTGATTTTAGCCCAGTTGAACTGATTTCAGACTTCTGATCTCCAGAACTATAAAAGAATAAATTAATGTTGCTTTAAGCCACCAAGTTTCTAGTAGTTAATAACAGCAGCCATAGGAAACTGAAGCAACCCTTGAAGGAGAAATAAATATTAGCCAGGAAAAGCAGAGCACCCTTCCCAAAACACACTTAAGGGAGCAGGTAGAAGAAAACAGTGAGGTTTATCTACTTCTGGAGTCTCAAAGGAGACTAAGTCAACCAGGTGTTGGGAAAACCAAGACAGGACATTGGAAACCATGGACAGACAGGGTTCCTATTTAGGAGTTGTCATTTCTCTGGTTAAATCAAAACAGTGGCATTCCTTCTGGACCACAACATGGTCAAAAGGTGAAATCCTATTAAAATGAAGTGTATTTGTGAAAGAAAGAATTCAAAGGACAACCTGAGTGGTGAGTGTGAAAAACACGTTTCTATTGCATTAACAAAGGATTCTCACTCATCCTCATGGTTTAAGTAACATTTAAGAGGTGATGCCACATCTGTATCTCCAGACTTGACCTCTCAGCTAAGTTTCAAATTTGTAAGCCAAAGACGTGCTAGACAAATCCACTTGAAGCTTCCACTGGTACCCCAAACTTAACAGGTCCAAATTAAGCTCATCACTTTCTTCCCATTCCCTCCATTCAAATGTAATTCTTTTTCTGTTATGCTGTATGAATTCGTGGCCCTATCATCTACCAAGTCACCAATAACAGAAATCCTTACGTTTTCGACTTTTATACTCACCAGTCACCTCTGATCTACCAAACACTGGTGGCTTCTCTCACCATGGGAGTTGATCTTGAATCCTTCCTTTATTTCCATTTCTACTCTGTATCCCTATCACTTTGTCAAGTCCCCCCAGGTTATTATCCTCCTAATTTCTTTCCTTTCCCCCCATCTTGCCTCCTCTTCCTTGTAGCAAGAACAGTCTTCTAAAAATAGAATTCTGACCATTTTACTCCAGTTTTACCTCTGGTTTAACTCTTTGTGAAGTTATAACGTATAGCTCCTTAGAATGACATACAAAACTCTCCATAAACTTGCTTATGTCTTTCTTTGGCCTTTGCTCCTATGATTTATACATTATGCTGCAGTAAATCAGACTGCTACTTCTAATGCCATTAGTGTCTCATGCTCTGGAATATATCTGTAACTTTCTCATACTAGTCACTCTGTCTAAAACGGCCCCTCTCTGCTTTTCCTGGGTAATATTTATTTCTCCTTCAAGGGTTGCTTCAGTGTACCTCATGCCTGAACCATGACGTTGGATCAAGTGGTGCAATGCTCACTGCAGTACTACTATTTTATTTCTTACCGCTTTATACTAAAATCTTCAGGTTATCTGAGTTGTATTTTTGAGACTGGAGCTCTCCCACTTTGGATCCCCCAATTCCTAGCAGAGTATTTGCCTTTCAACATGTATTTGTGGGACTGAATGAACCTGAACTGTTTTGAGAATGTTTGGTGATATCAATGTATATCTTCATATAATTTAGTATAGAAACCTAAATGTGATATAGTCAAATTTTAAATCTCATTGTGCAGCACATTTAATGCATGGAAAGCTTTCTTTTTCATGCTAAACATACACACACAAAAAATTGAGGAGAGACATATAAGGACATCATATCCAGTTTTTCTTTTTCATGGTTAACCTAGTCAAGTGAAATGGTCTTGCTATCCACAAATGCTTTTCAATTAACATTTTTGCTTTATGTTTCACTTCACATTTTTATTAAAATATAAATGCTGGAATACAATTGATGTAGCTTCTGTCCCACTCCTTTTATCCCCTGTCATTCTTGTCTGCAGATGAATCTATTACTCTCTGGTCACCACCCGCGCACCCGCTTATGCTCCCATGCATTGCAATGGGGTGTGTCCCCTGTGCATTACCCTCTTTTTCTTCTGATAAAGGAGGTCTGATTTTTCCAACAAAAAAAAAGACACTTTGTAGTTTTTGTTTCCTTGATCTCTGATTAGAATTTTATGCTGTGAATAACTTATTTTTCTAATTTTCCACTAGAAACTTCCAATACTGTGTCCTGGTTTTTCTTCTAGTTCTCTGCACCCACCGCCCACCCCAGCTTTCCCACTACCTCTCCTAAGCTGTAATTATTATGCCCCAAGATGGT